AAGCCAGTGCTCTTAATCAGAGAATCATCTGTCTTGCCCCTGTCTGATTTCCTAAGACAAATTAGTTATGGGGTAATTAGTAGCACAGACAGAAAGAATAAGTCATAAAAGCCAGCCTGTTCTGACAGTTTGACAGATTACCTCAGGTGAAAGGCCCTTATCGAGATGGTTCTATTCGTCCCATATAGCAGGGCATAGTGTGTTGACTCCAAGGACTCTCAAGGTTAGTTCTCTAAAATCCCATAAAGAATAGCTCCAGTTGGAAAGGTCAGAGGGCTGGGGAAAGCTTCTTTTCCAGTGTATTTCCTGCCCGTTTGTTTGTGTTCAAACTTTGATATAAAAGTTTTCCCTGAAAATATACCTTGCTTACCTTAAAGGCCTTGCTTTTTGCTGGGATTTTAGTATATTTTCTCATAGTTCCTATGGAGAGTATCATTTTAGACATTATTTTAAAAACCTTCTAAATAGAAATAATGCCCAGCTAGTGTAAAAAACCAGAGGAGATCATTAGTTCAACAACCTAATGTTAAATTGTACATACAATATCTCTAAATGAGTTTATGTGTAAAGCTAAAAGCTACATAACAAGAAACAGTAATAGACAAGAGAAACTTTCCTTTGAGTTTTTCGGCAGGGTAGTCAAGAGACTCCCAATATTACATAGGCTATTGCCACAGTTCTTGTTTGCCTCCCAGAACTTGAAAGCCAGACCCTACTGCTGAAGACAGAATATAGTTCAGATACAGAATTTGGAGCAGTGGAGCTGGAACTGACCTGGAAGCCACTTCCCATGAAGGCTAGCTATCAGATGGCCTTGCACATAGCTTTCAGAAAGTACTATTCAAGGTGCCTCAATTGATAGTCCAACACCAGCTTTAAGACCAAATAACCCCATCAATGACTTCCACAGTATACGACATTGGTGAAGTACTTGCACTTTTATCTTTGGGGCAGTCAACAGCTAGCTAGTTGGACTAAAAGCCTACTCAATGGGAGGAAAGTCATGTGTGATACTGTAAACCTAGCCCAATACACATGTTTGGAGAGATCATAGATCTTAGAGAAAACTCCAAAACTATCACATCCCAAGACTAAATGTAATTTCTTACTGTGTGCAAAATATGTATGCTTATATATACAGACAAATATCCCAGTCACCACTCACTAAAGAAGCTTTTTTTTGTACCAGACGGAGACTATTAGAATAGAGTACCACAACTGGTCACACACAGATATTGTCTGTGAATTGCCCAAGTCTAAGTGCTACATCTACAATGCAACGTCTGTACCAAGACTCATAAATCATAGAACCAAGGGGTAAAGAAGACAGCAATGAATATCTTGATTTTCATTATTGGAGCTCCCTTATGCAACAGAGGGCCAGGGACGCAAAAGGTCACAAATGACCAAAGTATTGAGACTAAGAGTCTGCAGAATGCTGGTCCTATATTAATCTACACCCACCCAGGGCTCACAGACCAGAGGAGGTGTATGACAATTTGGAAATAGAGTCCTACAAGCTCCTGGGACCCTATATGAACCTACAGTAATGATATTAGCATGCACAGGACTCATGTAGACTCAAAGAGACAAAAACCCAGCATGGTGTGGAGGACTTGAATTTTAACAGAAAACCCTATTGAGGAAGTGGGATTTAAACTAGGTCTTGAAGTAACCAAGGCTGAAGTTCAATTGGCGGGCTGGAGAGATGGCTCAGCATTTAAGAACACTGACTGTTCTTGCAGAAGAGCTGGTTTCAAATCCAAGCACCCACAAGGCAGCTAACAACTGTCCTTAAGTCCGACAGCTTCTTCTGTTCTCCACAGACAATACAGGTGCACTTAAGTACATGCAGGCAATAGACACATACACATTAAAAAAAAAAAGAAATTAGGCATTTAAAATGACAAACAGGAGCAATTAGTGAGCAAAACATTTTGGGAAAACATTTGAGACTATATCCTATGACTAGTTAGAAATAGAAATGAGAGAGTGAGGATTAATTGATAACTACTTTCATTTTGGCTATAAGATTATTTCATGAATCTTAGATGTATCCTAGTGTTGAAGAAGTTTTTCATTTTTTTGTGTGTTCCTCAGCTCAGATCTCTGGAGATTACCTTTATTTTTAACTTTGTTCCAAATTCCTCTGGTATTCTATGAATTCTGTGATCAGCCAGCCTTTCCCCCACAAACTTAATTGCTTCCTATTATGTGGGGCATCCTCATGACTTCTGCCCATTCTTTCTTCAGCCCCTTTCTCAAGATTTACCATCTCTTGATGTGCCTTTTCTGGTTTCCCACTCACTGACATTCTTTTCCCTTCTTATTTTCCTCTTTCAACTATTTTCAAAATACTTCAACGTATGTCTAATAATTTAGAATTACATGCTTCTCTTCCTTCTAATAAAGGTTGATAAAGTCTTCAGAGGATTAGATGGTGTTTTATGTTGTGGTTTCTCCAAGTGCTATGTAACTTTTAAAGAATTGGTCTTTTACATTATTATTAATTATTATTGTTTGAAGCCATGATTATCAAAAATGAAATTGCTATATTTTTGTTTATAGGTGCTTACTGTCATGCCTTTCCTATATGTGTGTGTGTGTGTGTGTGTATTGACTTCAAATCATGTCATAGATTCCAAAGCAAAGCACATTTATTTTTTTCTGCTGCTTTATGGACTATAGAAAATATGACCAAAAATTCTAGAACCAAGTTTTCTAGGATATACTCTTTTTACTCTCTCTTTTTCTTCCTTTCTTTCTTTCTTTTTTGTTTTTTTTGAGATAGAGTCTCACTTTGTAGACCAAGCTGACCTCAAACTCACAGAGATCTGCCTCCTATGTGCTGAGATTAAAGGTATGTGCCACCACGCCTAGCAATTTGACCTTTTCTTAATCTGTGTTCTGTAAGTATATTAGTTTGTCTTTGACATATATGCACTTAGTACTTCATATAGCTTTTCTAAATAATTTATGTTTATAGTTAGAGATAAATTATATAAATTAAGTGCAGCTTAACAAAAGATTGGAATATTATAGAAAGAGTAATCCTAATTAAACTATCTAATTCATCCATGTTGGTACTTTTCTTGCCTATGTCTTAAATTTTTAATAAAATATCCATCTATGAAAAAATTATGTGTTGTAACTAAAATTGAAGTTAAGACATTTGAATGACATAGTAGCATAAATCGGATATTGAACTGACTAGGAACCCTGATTTAAGGAAACTGAGGTAAGTGACATTTGCTCTTGGTTTCAGATTAAACACTTAGGAGCCTCTTAAAAATCTCAAATGTCTTTTAAAAGCCTTAAGTTTTTTAAAATAAAAATTATTCTCTCATCTTTAAAATTTTGTAAGGCAAAATTAGTTATGGATTTCTTGATCCATATATATTAACCCCCCAGTTTTATGGATGAAAAAGTAGTTTCAACAGGCTGAAAAACACTTGAACTGTGCATGACTGGCTTTAGAAATGTTTTAGCATTGTCTAACTTTTCTTGTTTCAGGCAGATATTCCTATCTATCATCTGTCTATCTATCTATCTATCTATCTATCTATCTATCTATCTATCTATCTATCTATCATCTATCTATCTATCATCTATCTCTATCTATCTATCTATCTATCTATCTATCTATCTATCTATCTATCTATCTATCTATCTATCTATCTATCTATCTATCTATCTATCTATCTATCTATCTATCTATCTATCTAATATATATATATATATAAAATCTAGAGTTAGATTTAGATGCAGGAAGCATGCACATATGTGAATGAGGGGGGTAGCCAGGGAGAGAGAAAAAGAGGAATTAAGAGAAGAAGTGTGTTATAGATTTCAATTACTGTGACAAAACACCTGAAAAATATCTGAAAAAAGCAACTTAAGAAAGGATTTATTTTGCCTCACAGTTTCAGAGATGTGTGTTCATGGTTGTTTGTGTCTATTACTTTGGGGTGGAGGTTAGGTACAACATCATGGCAGAGAAGGTATGATGACCTATTTCATTGTGGCCTGGAAGGTTGGTGTGAGAGAGCGAGAGCAAGAGAGTGAGAGCAAGAGCTAGAGAGAGAAGGGGAGGGGAGGGAACACTTAGGACAAGACATACCTTTGATAAGGATAGCCCTAGTGACTCATGTTAACCAGGCCCCACCTCCCATTAACCCATTCAGCTGTGAACTCAACAATGGATTGTCCATTTCTGTAGTTAGTCATGTCATGGTCCAGTCATGTTTCCAGAGTTTCATAATCTGGACATCAAGCCTTTTGTTGCATTTAGATATCAAGCAGATATCTAAACAAGAAGAGAAAGGGAATTGTTTGGTAACCCAAAGTAGTTCAAAAGCAATTTTATGAGTTAGTTTTTCCTCATCAACAGTTTATATTAATTTAAAATGTTATGGTTACTGTCTTATGAAATCATCTAAGAATGTCCTTGTGCTTTTCTTACTTCCTTAAAATAAAATGGAGTACTTTTCCCTACTCTTTGTGACACTGGAGATTGAGGCTCAGGGTCTGATTCATGTTATGCAAGCACTCTGTCACTGAGCTCTGAGCTATATACTCAGTATTCTATCCTTTCTTTTTTTAAAAAAAATATTTCTATTTTGAGCCAGATGTGGTGGCATACCCTTCGATCCCAGCAGTCAGAGACAGGTTAATCTCTGTGAGTTCAAGGCCATTCTGATCTACATAGTGAGTTCTGTACCAGCCAGGACTATATAGTGAGACCCTGTCTGAAACAAACAAATTCTATTTTGAGATAGAGTCATGCTAAGTTGCCCAGACTGGCCTTGAATTTTTTTTTTTTTTTTTTTTTTTTGTAGTTCAGACAAGGCCTTGAACTTCCAATTCTCTTGTCTTAGCGTCCAAAGAAGCTGGAGTGCATGCCTCTGCCATCTTGCCTGTTTTGTAATAAATACTCTTAACTTACATGGGTTAGGGTTTTCTTAGATATTATAAATAGCCTTTTAAAATTCGTTTCATAGGTTGTCTGCATTCGTTCCACTTGGAATGCCCTCTCTCCAAAGTTGAGTTGTGACACAAGACCTCTTATTTTGAAGACCCTGAGTGAACTGTTTTCTCTGGTACCTTCCTTAACAGTCAGTACATCCGAATATGAGGTATGTGCTTGGAGCTCAATAAGTTTTTATTGAAGAAAATTGTGTGATATGATAGCTATATTTGGAATTCATTCTTTGCCTTTACAGGTAATTTACATAAAAGGAGGTTAAGTTTTTATTATGAGACTTATGAAGACTTTTTAAATGTGTATTATGTAAAAAGTTTCCCAAATAATAGTGCTAAAATGTAGAGAATAAGACTTACAGAGGCAAGATGTATGATTATAATCATCTGAAACACTTGGGAGATACTTTGTTATACAATTCATATAGTACTGCTTAATTATTATTTGCTCTTGTTTGAGTGTAATAGTCAAAGAATAGAGAATTATATTTATGTCTCCACTTTTATAAGCCAAAACCTCTGTCACTCTCATCTTTTTTAATTTAAATGAATAATTTATTGAGAATTTCATACGTGCATATAAGGTGTTTTGATCAAATCCATGCCCACTCCCT